CTCAGGAAACATCAAAAGCAGTTGGAAGGAATACACAGAGTTGACATTCAACCATTTCAGGAGGTAGCATGTGATCAAGAACCGATGGTACAGAAGGAAGAGGTCCAAGTTGCACTGAAGGCGTTGGTGAAAAACAACGCTCCAGGAACTGATGGAATACGAATTGAGATGTTGCAACAAATGGATGCAGTGCTGGAAGCACTCACTCATCTATGCCAGAAATTTGGAAGACAGCTACCTGGCCAACCGACTAGAAGAGATCCATATATGTACCCATTCCAAAGAAAGGTGATCCAACAGAATGTGGAAATTACCAAACAGTTATCTTTAATATCACACAAAAGTAAAATTTTGCTGAAGATCATTCAAAAGCAGTTGCAGCAGTACATAGACAGAAATTCAAGCCAGATTCAGAAGAGGATGTGGAATAAGGGATATCATTGCTGATGCCAGATGGATCCTGGCTGAAAGCAGAGAATACCGGAAATATGTTTACCTGTGTTTTATTGACTATGCACAGGCATTCGACTGTGTGGATCATAACAAATTGTGAATAACATTGCAAAGAATGGGAATTCCAGAACACTTAATTATGCTCATGAGGAACCTGTGCTTAGACCAAGAGGCAGTTGTTTGAACTAGACAAAGGGATACTGTGAGGTTTAAAGTTAAGTAAGCTGTGTGTCAGAGTTGTATCCTTTCACCATATTTATTCAATCTGTATGCTGAGCAAATAATCCAAGAAGCTGGACTATGTGAAGAAGAACTCGGTATCAGGATTGGAGGAAGACTCATTAACAACTTGCGATGTGAAGAGGACTTAAAGCTCTTACTGATGAAGATCAAAGACTACAGCCTTCAGTATGGATTACACCTCAACATAAAGAAAACAAAAATCCTCACAACTGGACCAATAAGCAACATCATGAGAAACGGAGAAAATAATGAAGTTGTCCAGGATTTCATTTTACTTGGATCCACAATCAACGACCATGGAAGCAGCTGGCAAGAAATCAGACAACACATTGTGTTGGGCAAATCCACCGCAAAAGATCTCTTTAAAGTGTTAAAAAGCAAAGATGTCAGTTTAAGGACTAAGGTGTGCCTGACCCAAGCCATGGTATTATCAATCACCTCATATGCATGTGAAAGCTGGACGATTACTAAGGAAGATGGAAGAATTTATGCCTTTGAATTATAGTGTTGGTGAAGAATATTGAATATACCATGGACTGCCAGAAGAATGAACAAATCTGTCTTGGAAGAAGTATAGCCAGAATGCTCCTTGAAAGCAAGGATGGTGAGACTTCATCTTACATACTTTGGACATGTTATCAGGAGGAACCAGTCCCTGGAGAAGGACGTCATGTCTGATAAAGTAGAGGATCAGTGAAAAAGAGGAAGACCCTCAAGGAGATGAGGGTCTTCCTGACACAGTGGCTGCAACAATGAGCTCAAGTATAGCAACAATTGTAAAGATGGCTCAGGACCAGGCAGTGTTTTGTTCTGTTGTACATAGGGTCACTATGAGTAGGAACTGATCTGATGGCACCTAACAACAACAACAACAATCCTAGTGGGAGTGAAATGATATCTCGTTGTGATTTTGACTCACATCTCTCTGATGGCTAATGACACTGAGCATCTTTTCATGTGTTTGGTGACCATTTGAATGTCCTCTTTGATGAAATGTCTATTCAAGTCCTTTGCCCATTTTATGATTGGGTTGTCTTTTTGTTGTTAAGTTGTCGACATTTTATATATATTTTGATTATTAGCCTCTTGTCAGATACATGTTTTCTGAAGATATTCTCCCACTCAGTAGCTTGTCTTCAGTTTTTTGGTAGTCGTTTGATGAACAAAAGTTTTTAATTTTTATGAGGTCTCATTTATTTAATTTGTCTTTTGCTGTTTGTGCTTTTGTTATTATATTAGATAATCCACTGTTGAAAGCTAGGCCTGACGGCGTTGTCCCTGCTTGTTCTTCTAAGAATTTTATGGTTTTAGTTTACACATTTAGGTCCTTAATCCATTTTTAATTTTGTTTTTGTGTATGGTGTGAGGCATGGGTCCTTTTTCATTTTTGTGCATCTGGAAATTCAATTTTCCCAGAACCATTCACTGAAGAAACTCTTCTTTCCCCATCGAATGGACTTAGCACCTTTGTCAAAAATCAGTTGACTACAGATGTGTGGTTTTATTTTTGGACTCTCAATTCTAGTCCATTGGTGTATGTGTCTATTGTTATACCAGTACCAGGCTGTTTTGATTACTTTAGATGTATAGTATGTTTTAAAATCTGGAAATGTTAGTCCCCCTACTTTGTTCTTCTCTTTCAACATTACTTTAGTTATTCGGGGAATCTTGCCATTCCATATAAAGTTGAGGATTGGTTTTTCTATTTCTGTAAAGAAGGCTGTTGGAATTTTGATCAGGATTGCATTGAATCTATGGATCATTTTAGGTAGTATTGACATCTTAACAATATTAAGTCTTCCAATCTAAGAATATGGAATATCTTTCCATTTAAGTCTTCTTTAATCTCTTTCAGCAGTGTTTTATAGTTTTCATTGCATAAGTCCTTCACTTCCCTGGTTAGACTTATTCCTAGGTATTTTATTCTCTTAGATGTTATAGTAAATGGAATTGTTTCCCTAATTTCCCTTTCAGATTTCTCTTTGCTAGTATACAGAAACCCAACTGATTTTTTTGTTGACCTTGTACCTTGCAACTTTGCTAAATTCTGTCTTTGTCTTTTAATTAGGAGTTCAATCTCACATTACTGAAACTGCTTCAACAAATGTTTATTGTGCATCTATTGAGAAATGTGTCTCTGTGCACTATGGGTGACAACGAATAAACAAGGCCCAGCCATTGAGCTCTTAGAGTAATATAAGTATATTAATTTGAAGGGCCTAGTGTAGACTAGCTGTTTGGTATGGTTTTCTTTCATGTTTCACATAGTTCTGATTAAAATGGACGCTTAAATATTTTTGCTCCTCCATTTTTTGGGTATATTCCTCTTATTTCTCCCCAAAATTTTCACTTTAAATGGGATTAGGGAGAGATTTTGACGGCATGTTGGTCTTTTTCGACCACCACCCTTATTTTAGAGCAAAAACGCTTTTAGACAAGAAATTAGAATAGAAAGTACTTGATGTATGTGTGTTTATATATGTCTCTATGCTTATTGAAGAGGAAAAGCAGGTAGAGTTAGAATACAGCAATCGGAGGAGGCATATGGATTTATAACTTCCTCTCAAGTGTAAAATGTCCTGTTTAAGTGCCTGTGATGGTTAAAGTTGTGTGTTTGCTTGGCTGGGCCATGATTCTCAGTGGTTTGGCAGTTATGTAATGATGCAATTTGGCACTTGTGTAATGATGTAGTCATCCTCCATGATGCAATCTGATGTGAGCAGTCAATTAGTTGAAAGGGGAGTTTCCTTGGGGGTGTGGCCTGCATCCAATACATACATGGATGTTCTGGCAAAGATCGCTGGCTTGCTCTGGATCCTGCATCTGGCTCATCATCATCTGACCTCCAGTTATTGGGACTTGAGCCAGCTGCCTGCTGTATTGCCTGACAATCTTGGGATTCATCAGCCTCTGCAGCCTGTAAGCCAGCAGCCTACCATCTTATCTGCTGATCTTGGATTCATCAGCTTCTGCAGTCTGTGAGCTAGTGGCCTGCCATCTGACCTGCTGTTCTTGGGTTCGTCAGCTCCTGCAGCTTTGTGAGTCAGGAGAAACCTCCAGCCTGATGCCTAAGCCACGGGCTTGGGACTTGCAAGTATCTACAACTGCAGGAGCCATTTCCTTGAGATAAATCTCTCTCTGTCTCTGTCTCTCTCTATATATATAGATATACTTCACTGGCTTTGCTTCTCTAGAGAATCCAGCCTAAGACAGTACCTTTAGTCCAGAGAAAGAAGGAGCAGGAAGTAGATAAAGTAGCAGCTTTGTGCAGAGTTGGAGAGGAATTGGAAGCTCAAACAAATGACCAGCCATTGGCCATTTCAGGCATTTGATGGGAAGTCCGGACGAGGCAAGTGAATGAGGTAGAAGGGCAGTGCTTACTGGAGCTTCTTTCCCTCCGCCACCTGGAGGCTGCTTGCTGAGCCTTTGACTTAAGCCCTTGATCATCCTGTATGAAATACAGTCAACTTCATTCCAAGCATTCCTCGAATGAAGAACAACCCTGACTCTGGCTGATGGCCTGCCCTTTGAGAAGTCTCTGCTGGTGGGCTAGATGCCAAGACTCTGTTCTCAAAATCTAGGGTCCTGGAAGAATATGCTTGGATTGAGGAGGGAGGTGCAGAAGAAAAACATGAATAAATACAGTGTGTCCCGAATATTGGAATTTGTCAAAATGGAAATATTTCTTTCCCTACCTCCTGCATGGCGTACAGTTTCAATGTATGAAAGGAAATGAAATCTTTAGAGTATGTCTTGAGGTTAGATTGAGTACCATAAAACTGGGTTAGATTAGATGAAATTAGATTGGGCAATGAGAGGCCATTTCCTGAAGCTTCTAGTGGAATTGTACCTGACCACTGGGCAGAGGAGAGTTTACCAATTTTCTAAAGGTTTCCAGTTCAAGAACTGTGGTTTTTAGTGTCCTTTAGCAAGGTAATTGACCCCCATGCACCTCGGTTTCCTACTCTGTAGTCGGAAATAGTCATATGGTTGGAGACAGGAGATAGCCAGTGAAGAGCATCTAATTCAGGGCTGGGCACATAGTACATAGTCAGCTAGGGGCTCTCCCACCTGATTTAGTGGGCGAGGAAATTGCTCCCTTTTGTTTTCAAATCCTGGATTTGTGGGGGGACCCAATCCATGGGGGAATGTACATTTTTTCTCAGGATTCTTCAAAAGACAAAGAGATGGATCTGGCACATCTTCTTGACATGGACACTAAGAAAGATGGGGCCTCTTTTTGTAAAGAGAATGTATTGATTCAATCTCTCTCATTCACTCTCTCTCTCACTCCCTCACTACAGTTCTGGAGGGGACGACTCCCTGAAGAATGTGACCACATTACCTAGTAAGTAACCACAGGGACTTGAGTCTGTCCACTAGCTCAGTCCAACCCCTAGGCTTCCTGGGAGTCCCTCCTAGATGAGAAAAGAGCAAGTAGCATCTCTTTTAGGAGCTGCTGTTGAAGTAGGAAGAAAGGCCTACGGACAGGCAGCCTAAGGTGAAAAGGGGGGGAGTGGAATAAATACTGGATTTTGAACCAGGGAAGCCCGGGTTTAAGCCCTGGCCCTTCTACATGCTTACCAGATGACTAGGACAAGTTACCTAAAGTTCTAAGCCCCAGGTTTCCTCAACTATAAAATGTTTCCTCAGCTGGCCCAGGGAATTGCTGAGACAATCAAATTAAGGTAATATTCACTTCACTATGAATTGTAAAGTGTGAAAAAAAAAAGAAAAAAAGCAAGGAAGGGGGTGGGGGGGACTCTTGCTGCCTTGGCCCAGTCCACCCCTGGACAGCCAATTCTCAACTCAGGAAGACTTCAGCTCCCCTACCTGCCTCTCCTGTCCGACCCCTCCCCAGGCTGCATGAGGGTGAGAATGCAGCTCACTTTGGGAACCCTGAACCCCACAGGACCAGAGAAGACACCCTGGCCCTCTGGTCTGAGCTCTTTGTGGCCTCCTCACCCCCTTACCTTCCAGATATCCTTCGGGAGTTTAACAGAAATCTCACAGGCTACGCGGTGGGCACAGGCGACGCCAATAGCATAAATGCGTTCCTCAATCAGGCTGTTCCTGGAGCAAAGGCTGAGTACGGCATTTGGGGAGGGGGCTCTGGGATGGGGAGAAGAAGGTACGTAGCTCCCTTTACAATCATTAAACTGATCTCTGTGTGCAAAGGGGATGTTTACCCATTAGCAGAAATGACTTGAGAGGATCTCAGTCTGCCTTCTTACCTGGCCTCCTCTGTGACTGAAGCTGGAGAGACTATGGCCATGGGAAGGAGCAAGGCCCCTAGAGGCTGAACTTCTGGCCTTGCTTTCATGTGCAGTATGATCTAATAATTGGGCTCACCAACCAACCTTGTCTAATTTTTTAAAACTTACCATGACATAACAATGCTAAAGAGATCCACTCTCCCCAGACACTCCCAAGTGACAATTCCCCAAAAAGATCAAGGAGGCCAGCCAAATGGATGGTGGCCCAGAATCTCCAGCCTTAGAGGACTCAGGGGCAGTATGTCCTGTCCCTCACCCTGCGATGGAACTAGCAACAAATGAAGTAGAGAAACCCAGAACTACCCAGCCTCCCTGGATGAGCTCCAGTGGCGGCCCCTCACCCTGCCCCAAGAGGCCCTCCAGCCTGGGTCTCCTTGCTCTGTTACATGCCATCTTCTTGCTCAGACCCACACCCTTGTAGCCAACAGGCCTGGGTAATGGAAACAGTGGGGGACAGATGATCCCACCACCATGTCCCCGCGATCACTGTGCTGGCAATCCATCACACCCCAGGCCCATAACAGGGCCTGAGCTGGTGGGGAGTCGGGGTGCCCAAAATCTATTCCTTTCATGAGTTATAGACCTAGGCACGTGTACAGTGTATATCTATTTCCCATCTCTTTCTAAAAGAAGCATTTAGATAAGTTCACGAAAATTAACATATACATAAGAGGGAAAAACCACAACCATTAGGGGAAAAAAAAGAGGAAGCAACTATACCAATATGAGAGCTTTTACAGTCACTGTGCTGGAGCGTCAGCCTCTCAGCTTCCTGGCAGCTAAGGTTAAAAAAAAAAGCATGTTAAAACTTTCATAGATCTGATTTGAGGATATATGCAAGTCCTTCAAAAGAGACTGACAGCTTCCTGGCATGGGATACTAAAAGAAAGTGCACGTTGAGTCCTAGAAGGGAGGCCATAAGCAGCAAACCTAAGTGCAGCACCCTGATTACACCTTTCGAACAAACATACAACTGGCTTTTCAAATGGTTATTTGTTGTACTAACTCTCCAGAGGAGGCAAGCACCAGCTTGTGGCTCCTCCTCATCTCGGAGCCTCAGGGTCTCTGCCAGCTCACGCAGCCAAGATGCTGCCAGGAAGCCCCTAGTCCAGATCTCTGGGAGGAAAGCTCTGGCCGTAGTGGTTCCTCACCAAAGGCACTGATTTCCTCTCCTTCTCAGGGAACTTGCGCACCAAGTCCAGACCCTGGTGCAAAGGATGAAAACGGACCATGTGAGTCAGATTTATGTTTGTTTATAAAAATTAACTTTCTCACCCATTAGGCTTGTCCCCAAATGGAATAGTCTGCCTCGAGAAGCAGTGAGCTCCCTGTCAGTAGAGGTAGTCTAGCAGAGACGCATAGCCCCTTGTCAGAGGCTCTGTGGAGGAGATGATGTCACTGGGGGGAGGGTTGTTGCTGGTCACAGTGACCTTGAAAGTCCCTCTTGATGCTAAGATTCTGTGGTCTATAAATAAACCTCTAAAATTCCTTCAACTCTGAGGTTCTGATCCTAGTATTCCAAGTAGGCAAAGAAGTTTTGGAGGGTTGAATGGACTAGAGCTGTGAAGTTTTGTTTATTTGTTTTTGGAAATCATCAAGCATTCTCCTCCCTCTGTGTAGAGAGTAAACTTCTATGAAGACTGGAAGGTCATCACTGTGCTGATTGGTGGCAGTGATCTCTGTGACTATTGCATGGATTCGGTAAAGGGGGTGGGGCCGTGCCTATTCCTTGCTCCTGACTTTACACTGTAGGCCTCAGAGACCCTCTCTTGAGAATAGTCCCTAGATCGACCCTAGGATTGTCCACCTAGGATTGTCCAACTGCACCTATGTATGCACACACACATGTATGCATGCAAGCCTTATGCCAGGATCCTGAGTTTCGGTTCCCTCTTCGTGTTCCAGGTGGTATGAGGTGGCAGGTATATGGTGCTTCTATACCCCACTCTTACAACTCCTGAGAATCCAGAAAGAGAAGAAACTATACCCCAATCAATTGGAAGGAGGACCTTCCACTTTCTGCTCCTGAACTAAAGCTCTGGCCAGAGGGTCTAGTCTTCTGACTGGCCCAGTTTTGACAACAACGAGTAGTTGATGGTTCATCTCAGATTCTGACAGCTGTTCACAACTGGAGGCCAGAGGGAGAACAAGTCTTCCAGGCTGGAGTCAGAAGGGAAGCCTGCAGCTGCCCCACTGCCTGCCCACCCTGACCAGTTACTCTCCTCTCCCTCCTGTCTCTTCCAGAATCTGTATTCTGCAGCCAACTTTTTTGACCATGTCCGCAATGCCTTGGATGTCTTACACAGAGAGGTGGGTTGGAGGCTTCCACAACCTGGCATAGCTCAAGCATGGCAGGGGGTGGGGGAACAATGGTGGAAGTACCTCCTCCCTTGAAGGAGAGAGCCAAGGGCAAGGGCTCCTTCCCCTTCCATAGGCTGTGCCTGCCCTGAGGAGTTATAGCCCAGAGAGATCTCAGGCTAGCAGAAGGGAGGCAGTGTGGCCTCTAAAAGGCACCCCACCCTCAAGTGGACATTACCTGGTGATGGCAGCTGGTTGGGAGTTCCTCTCTTTTGGCCCCAGGCTAGGCACTCTTTCCAAGCCATACGGTATGCCTACAGCAAGGCCCTCTCTGGTCCTGCATCCAGCAGTGTGTCTTCTTCCCATCCCCTGGCAAGGACACGCTGCTCAGCTGCCCCAGAGGGAGCGCTGACTGCCAGTCCCCATGCCTACTCAGTGGGTAGGCTGGATTGGACTGGAAGGAAATGGTCAAGGGCTAATGTCCAAGCTAATGGGCAGGTTACCCATCTCACCAAATTTAAAGTGAACATGTTGGAGCTCACTAAATGATGCTGAATGGAGCTGAACTTCCAGCATTTAGACGGGGTCAGCCACGTTGTCTCACTCCAGGAGGCGCCATTCACACTGCAGCCCATGTGGGTGGTACCTGTGGAGTTGTGCGGTGCACAGCCGGCAGGGCCCTCCGTGGGAGCCCCATGTAGATCCCTCCTCACAACTCCACTCAGGGGTGCTGAGCTGGAGTTCTAAAGAGACCCTCCAGCCAGTTCCCACATCTCAGGTCACTGAGGCAGCTTGAGAAAGCAGCCTCTGGAGACCCTGTCTCATCTGCAGCCTTGCTCTTAGGTGCCCAGAGCCCTGGTCAACCTCGTGGACTTCATGAGCCCCAGTGTCATACGGCAGGTGTTCCTGGGAAACCCAGACAAGTGCCCAGTGCAGCAGGCCAGGTAGGCAGGTGCTGGCTGCCCCAGGGGGACAGGTGCTTACCCCTGGTCTGGCTCATATGCAGCGGTGTCTCCTCCGGGTCTTTGTGTCTTGTCCATCCAAGTGTCCAAGTCTGTAGAGGGGGACCTGTGCCAGGACGACCCCTTTTCTGGGGGTCGGAGCCATGACCTTCCCCTTACCTAACCTCAAGGTGGCAGGCAGGAACATGTGTGGTCCTGGGGGAGCCACAGGAGTGAAGCCAGGCTGGGACAAAGGCTGGTATCTGAGAAAGAATGTAGCCCAGACTGTGACAAGGGGCAACATACAGGGGTACACAAGTGTGGTCAAAATGTATCAGAAAGCAAGAAAATGTACCTGGAAACATAATATACGATTCAAAATAGTACCAGTAGCTGCCTTTACATGGAAGAAGAGAATTGGGGGGCTGGCTACAAGGAAACTTCAAATTGGGAATGTTCTGTTTCTTCAGCAGGGTGGTAGGTACCTGGGTGTGTGTCTTATTATTCTTTATACCTTATAACCAGTTGCCATCGGGTTGATTCCAACTCATAGCGACTCTATGGGACAGAGTAGAACTGCCCCATAGAGTTTCCAAGGAGTGCCTGGTGGATTCAAACTGCCGACCTTTTGGTTAGCGGCCGTAGCTCTTAACCACTATGCCACCAGGGTTTCCTTATACCTTATACATACATTTATTTAACAAAGACTTTTACAGCACGTACTGTGCACCAGACACTGCTCTGAGTGCTTTAACTCTCTTTTACCTCTTTAATATATGAAGTATATTTTATAGGTAGGAAATATTTCATAATAAAAACAAAACACAGATGTTAATTAGGAAGGGGGACACTGGTGTGAACTGAGGAAGTATCTGAGGGCATGAGTGTCAAAGGCCCCAAAATACCAGCTGCAATGCCAGAGGATGCATTTTTCTTTTAATTAAAAGTTGGATTTTCACTGCCTGAATTCTTTTGATAAGTGTAAGTTGTGGCAGGCCTAGCGCCTGCAGCCCACTGCTTGTACTCTGTTCATAGGAGAGAGTGCTTCCTCAAACCCCAGGTTCCTCCCGTGGGGCTTTAACCTGTACACATGTCAGGCCGAAAACCTGTTCTTAGCGTTGTGTCCAAAGGCACAGCACACATGCTTCTAAGCCAGGCTGGGCCAGGGCTCCAGGGAGCTGCCCTCCATGCATCAAAAGCCAGTCCCCCACCAGAGGTCAGGCCTCAGGGCATCAGGGGCTTCAGCTCTGGGTTCTCCTGCCTCTCCCTTTGTGCAGTGTTCTGTGTAACTGTGTTCTGAGCCCGCGGGAGAGCTCCCAAGAACTGGCCAGTTTGGAGGTCGTCACCCAAGCCTACCAGGTAAGAGCATGAAGGGACCTCTCCGCACCACTCACTCAGCACACAGCCCAGAACCCCCCGGGGGAGCCCCACAGGGGAGGGGAGATCTGCTCAGGGAGCCTGAGGGAAGACACCCACCCACCAACCCCGGCCCTTTCCACTGCCCCACCCCACTGAGTTGCCTCACAGCCCAGGTTGGAGTCATCCCAATGGAATCCAGGTGGCAAAGCCCCTAAGACGCAGCTGCGCTTTGCAGCTTAACCCAACATTTGGCCTGAAGAGGGCAGCAGCACTGGACGCACCTTTCTCTCTCCCTACACCATGGAAGTCTAGCCACCACCCCTGTCCCAACCAACTCTCTCCATACCCTCTCCGGCCCCACGCCTCCACAGGCAGGCCACCAGGAAGAAGAGTGCAGCACTGCTTGCTAGGGCCCCTCTGGAGACTCTGCCAGGTCTTTGTTCCTTGCTGGACTTCCTGGCTGGCCCTTCGGAGCTTGCAGTCCACTAAAAACCAGAACAAAAAAAGGAACCCAACCTGCTTCCAACTCTCTGGAAAGAGATTTGCAGTCAAATGTGTTTGTGTTGGAGCCCTGGTGGCGCAGTGGTTAAGCGTTCGCCTGTTAACCAAAAGTCAGCAGTTAGAATCCACCAGCCACTCCTTGGAAACCCTGTGGAGCAGTTCTACCCTGTCCTATAGGGTCGCTATGAGTCGGAATTGACTCAGTGGAAACGGGTTTGGGGTTTTTTGGCTTGGTATTTGTGTTCTCAAGGGAAGGGTGGGGTCAGTCCAGCCCCTGTCCAGGGAGATAGGGGCAGGGCTGTCACCATGCTGCCCACCACCCCTGTCCCTGCCCCTGGGAGCTCGGCCCATCCAGGGCCTATGCTGAAGCTGTCGTGTGTGTCCCCAGAACAGCATGCGTGAGTTGGTCGAGTCTGGTCGCTATGACACACGGGAGGACTTCTCCGTGGTTCTGCAGCCCTTCTTCCGCAATATCCGGCTCCCAGTCCTGGAGGTACGATCCCTGCCCACACCCACGGGGCTCCTGGGGGAGAGGCTTCCATGGCGCCCTTCGAGGAGGGACTCCAAGGCAGAAATGCCAAGTGCTTCCATGAGGGTGGAGACAAAAAGGGAAAGATGCAGACAGGTGAGAGTTGCTCTCCAGACGCTGTTCTGGGGGTGCAGCCTCCATGAACATCTGGGCTCAATCCTCAGAGACAGCCTGATGTGGGAAGTTCCATTATGACTGAGGACAGCTTCCATTTTATTGAGCACTTACTATGTGATTCCCATACACTAAATCTTCAGAATCACCTCCTATAACAGAGGCTCAGAGATGTGACATATCTCTCCTGAAGCCATATAGGTAATAAGGGATGGAGAGGCAGCATGTTTGGTAAAGTAGACGGTCAATGAAAATGAGAGAATCCCTCAGTGAGATGGACTGACCTACTAGCCACAACAATGTACTCAAACATACCAACAATCATGAAGATGGTGCAGGGCCAGGCAACATTTTGTTCTGTATACATAAGGTCACTGTGAGTTGGAGCCAATGCAACAGCAACTGATAACATAATAATATAGCTCCAAATGATTAGCTTTCTGCCGCATACACACTCTCCCTCTGCGCATGACTCTGCAGTTATAAAGGAGGGTTCTGTGGATTATCTGTTTGCAAGCTGGCCGTGCTCTTTGCCTGATGCATCCACTCTGAACAGAAGAGATCTGTGAGTGGACCAGGGTGAGGACTGGATTCTGTCTTCCAGGGCCTCTGTCCTAAGGGCCTCTTCTAACTGGAGGGTAGTTGGAAGGAGAGAAGCTTTGTGCACCTGAGTATATCAGGAGAGAAGCCAGAGTCTGGTGGCAAGCTGCCCTGGTATCGGCTGTATCCAGGCCTGCCCCAAGGCTCGGCCCAGATTCTCACCATCACCCTCAAGACCACAGGGACCAGCTGGATGAGCACTGTGAAGTGGCTTTTCCCAGCTGGCTGTCTAGGCTTCCTCAGAGACAAGGATCTCATTCCCTCTCCTATGGCATAAGCTAGGACAATAGGGCCCTGGGTGGTGCAAATGGCTTGTGCTTAGCTACTAACCTAAAGGTTGGCAGTTCAAACCCACCCAGTGGCACCACAGAAGAAAGACCTGGTAATCTGCTTACATAAAGATTACAGCCAAGAAAACCCTATGGAGCTGTTCTACTCTGCAATGCTCGGTGTCGCCATGAGTTGGAATCAGCTCAATGGCAATGCGTGTGTTTGTTTGTTTGGGCATTATATGAATGTGTCTAAATATAAATATGGTGTTTTTTGATTAAATAAGGGGAAATTGTAGAACCAGTAAGAGGGCGGGGGTTTAGGACCACCTGAGGCTACCTGCTATGGGATTACTCTGATCTCCGTCTTAAGGTAAGCAGGCCCTGTGGAGGGCCAATGACTCCAAGCACTTCCAGGGAGAGGAGGGCATTAAATGGTCAGTCCCTGGACCAACAGGGTCTTGAGGAAGTGTGTTTCTCTCCTTCAGGATGGTCGCCCGGATACATCCTTCTTCGCCCCAGACTGCATCCACCCAAGTCAGAAATTCCACTCCCAGCTCTCCAGGGCCCTTTGGGTCAATATGGTAAAATGAGCAGTCATCCCTGGTTCACTGGGTTGTCACCTAGGGCACAGCACCAGCCCCTCCCCTCGCTGCAGAATGGAGACTGGTTCTGGTCCTCCTTTTGCAAGCAAGCCTGGCAGAGCTGCAGAAGTCTGTAGAATTTTAAATATGGAGTCCTTCAGATTTTGCTCAGCCTGGGTTCACCTCCTTCTTCTCCTCTGGATTTGGAACTGTGACAATGGACTCTCTCCATATGCATTCGAGGCAGAACCTTTGCATTTACTCCACATTTCCTAGTGCCAACAACTGTGCGAGGCAATTTAATCCATGTTACCTCATTTAAGCCTCTCAACAGGCCTGCAAGGGAAGTATTCGGAGTTTATGAGGAAGCTGAATCCTAGAGAAGCTCAGGGACCTGCCCAGTGTCCCACAGCTGGCAACTGGCAGAGCCAGGAGTGGAAGCCAGGCTCCCTGAAATCAAGTCCCGAGCTCTCCCCACTGCAGTAGGCTGCCAGCGATGTTCATTTCAGCCGAAACAAATTACTGCACCATCTCTTTCTTTTCCTCCCCATCAGCTTCAGCCACTAGGAGGGAAAACAGATACCCTTGACCTGACAGCAGCCATACCCCTCTCCTGCCCCACTCAGGTAATAAGGGGGGACCTGTTGTGCCCTCTCCAGACACCAGAGCACAGGTCTCGCCCCCTTCCCTGCATCCCCCACCAAGCTTCTGCATGGCCCACCTTCCCCCGATCTGGGAGCCGGTGATGGAGGTGTGGGAGATGGGCTTTGGAGGGGTGGGAAGAGGGCACAGAAGCAGTTACATCTTTGGGAATAGGAGAAGCATCTGGGAGAGGAGGCCTGCGCCCAAGCAAAGGGAGAGGATGGGGTGAGAGAGATTCTTGAGAAGGGGATGAGAAGCCAGAAGAACGGCAAGAAGGCTCCTTTGAGCTGCAGCATTTGGGGCAGATGGGAGAAGTCTGACTGCAGGTTGTAGGATAATGAGGAACGAGTTGGGCCCAGAAGTGGTGGTTAGTGATTGAGGGCCTGGCCTGGGGTTTCCAGCAAGGGGAGGATCAAAGATGGAAGCAGCAAAAGGGAGAGCCCGAGAGCTTTGTGGAGGAGGAGCCAGTAGGGTTGGCCTGGTAGAAACTGGGTTGAGGACTCCGATTGGGCTCCTTTTAAGGAGGAATACATGTGTGGTTGTTAAACTTGATTTCAGGCCTAGGAGTGGGGGCCATTTCATGTTCCCATCACCTTTAGCTTCCTTGTCTCAGCCCTCTCTGTGGCTTTTTAACCAAATAAGGCAGAGCTCACAGAGCCCTGAGCAGCAATAAAAGCAGAGGGGCCTGACCCAGTCTAGGAGGCTGGGTTTCCCTCCTGCAGCCAGCCGGCTGCATCACTTCTTTCACCCTCCTGGCTCGGCAGTGGCTGCAGAATAGACCTGCAGCTCTCCTGCGTGTCTGTGGGGCTCCTGAGAGAGTGGGCACCCCTTCCCCTGGCCCATGCTCCCTGTCTACTGCCTTCCCACCTCAGTCTTGGGTCCAGTTTTGTGGATCATCAACCTCATCGGGGAGCAAGAGCGGCAGAAGAAGGATGTAGGAGGATGGGAAAGCAGTGGTAGCAGAGGGCTCAGTTGCTGTTGTAGTGCTCTGAGTAGGGGTATATTCAAATTATGTTACAATTAGGGCAACATGATCAGGTGCTGGACAAAGTGCTGGGGCAAGGCCCTAGGGGCCCCTACTGTGCCAGGTGTAAACCCTTTAATTGCTAGATCCTAGGGATATTCAGGGAGTCCTGGGGGAGAGGTTGGGGCACCTAGGTAGTGGGGGCATTTGAGGACTCAGGGAAGTGGCTACAAACCATAGTGTAGGTAAGCATTTCAATATGTCAGCAGCCTATATAGCCATACTAATTATCAGCCATGGAAGACCCTCTCCAAACCACCAACCCCCTTCTCTTAAGTAGTGGAGGTAATAACTACCCATACCAGAGAGCTATCATTTGCTCTTTCTCCCAAAAAGCATTTATTAAGCACCAAGCTGGAGCCTAGGCACTGGGTCAGGGAAAGCCCTGTCACCATGGGCCTCAAGGTAGCCTCTGCCACTCTGTCCCAGACCAGGTGGGAAGTCCAGAAAGGGTGATCTTCCACCCAACATCTCAAGCCCAGTGGGCTTAGCTCCTCCCTCCTGGACAGAGCCCAGTCGAGCCATTGATGAGCACAGGGGAGCACATCCAGCCTCCTGGAACTGGTAGAAGAGCCTGGGAGAGTGGTTGCTAGGCAACCCTGGAGCCCATTCCAAAAGGGTCCAACTGTTGGCCAGTCCATTTTCACTGCACCAGGAATTCTGCATTCTGCAGATCCCATCTGCTCCCTCGCATGTGCCTTGGAGCTATATAAAAGCCACCAGCATCTCAGTGTGAGCTAACAGGGTCCAGGAAGCATGTATTTTAATCCTAGTTGTGTCTAAACATAGAAGCAAGAAGCAATAGGCAGGACCCAGTAGGGGAGGAGGTGGCCAAGGTGGATGTGAAGCAGTGAGGAGCTTTCCTAGCCTCCTCCCTTCTACCCCAACCCCAGTCAAATTACAATTACATTCTGTTGTGCCAGGTAGGGCCTCATAATACCACTCCAGAGATTTCTGTCACGCTTGAAGGTTGGGCAAAATAGTTTACAGCTAACGTTTCACTAGCCACCCTGTGGACTGTGACTGTTCTTCCCTCACTGCCTTAATCACCTCTCTGCCTACTCCTTCCCTAACCTGGAGAGTCTGGCTGTGACTCCTTAGGCTTTGAAGAACTCTCTGTTGCCCCTTCTTGTCTCTTTTAATGACACTTCTCCTTCCTTCTCCCAACCTCTAAAATGTGGACATTTTCCAGAGTTCATGTCTTAGCCATCTTCTCTTTTCTCTCTCTCCACATCTCCTCACTCTGAGATTTATCCATTTCCAGGGTTTCCTGTTAAACTTCTTCGCAGGACTCCTCAATCTGCATCTTTGTTTCTTCTTTCCCAAACTGTAGACCAAAGGCAGATTAAATGTATGTATCAACAAGGCAGGGGGACCAGAGAGATAGAGACAAAGATGAGAGAGAGAGAGAGACTGAGATAATTTCATATAATATTTCACCCAGATTTTTATCATGAGAAAAAGCAAAAGGGGAAGACAAACCCCCTGAAGTCAAGTTCCAAGATATCCCCAGTTTGCTTCCGCCTCTTACACTTACTTTATTGCTTAGCAGTGTTTCTACTTTGAATTACTTGTGGTGGAGACACTGTTACCTTTTTAATGCTTAAAGAACAAAAAAACCAAACCCACTGCTTTGGAGTCGATTCTGACTCATAGTGACCCAGTGGGACACAGTAGAATGGCCCCACAGAGTTTCCAAGGAGCAGCTGGTGGATTTGAACTGCCAACCTTTTGGTTAGCAGCTGAGCTCTCAACCACTGTGCCACCAGGGCTCCTCTAAATCTCCTAATACTGCCCTGACCACATCATCACCTCAAACTCAACAAACATTCATTCAAAAAGTTATTTTTTGAGCAAAGAATGTCTAAATGGGAGCTAAATATTTGTCTTCCTAAATTCTCTGCCCCTTAGGACTTCTTTATGTCTGTCAATGTTATTGGGATTTTCACTGTTACACAGGCTGAAACTTCTGGTGCCCCATCTGATAGGATTCTTCCTAATGATCCTCCCACCTGCCTGCCTTTCTATTTGCACTGCCACCACCCCATTCAGATCCTCAGCACTTTGTAGGTTAAAGGTTATCTAGTTCTACTTTCCCATCATAAAACAACAAAGAATTGTTTAACCATAGAATCTCAGCCAGGAGAGGCTTTGGAGTTCTGTTGATGCAATACCCACTGCTGGGGAGTTGATTCCAACTCACAGCGACCCCACGTGTTACATAGTAGAACTGAACTCCATAGGGTTTTCTTGGCTATAATCTTTACAAAAGCAGATTGCCAAGCCTTTTTTCCATGGTGCCACCTTTCAGTTAGTAGTCAAGCACAAATCATTTGTGCCACCCAGGGATCTCATTATTACTGAATTTCTCATACCTTCCCTCCCAAGGCATCACTTTAGCCTCTGCCTAAGCTTCTGCTCTCGCTTAAGGCTATGCTGTTCAACTGCCAAGTGGCAACCCATTAACAGGCTGTGAAATCAATGTCTTAGGTCATGAACCCTAAGTTTTCAATGGAATGGAAAGGAATCAGAAAATATCAGAGGGCATCTGTGTAGTGACTATCGCGTCCTCCTCCCTCCTACCACCCATGCCCCACCCAGAGTCGACTACTCTCCACGCCAAACAGCTGTAGTCACCTCAGCCATGTATCACAGTCATGGTTTCCAATGTCTCGTATAGGTATTTCTCTGTGAATGTTGTCCCCTTTTCATTGGTGCCCAGGCCTGACTGTATACTTCTGGTTTGCTCTGGCCAGCACAGAAGAAAATTACTACTCCTTCATTGTGGAACTTTACACCCAGAAATGCTGCCAAGATTTACGTGACCTTTTCCCAACAGCCAACTCATGTTGCTGACTCACATCAGGTGGCGGTCCGGGCTCTGCCTCCCAAGGGGAGCCACACTGCCTTTGCACAGCTGTGACTGTTAGAACAACTTCCCTGTGCTGGCATTCAACCTGCATCCATTTCTACTCACTGATACAAGCCTAGCCCTCGAGAGCCAGTAAGACTAAACAAAATCCCTCTCCACATAATCTGCTTGACTACAGGCCTTCAAACTACTCTGACTCATGCATTCATTATGCGGTCAATGGTCACTAAAAACAAGCGGTGGGCACCCCAGTCGGCCTCCCTGTTGCTCTCCTAGACCTGTTCTCATTGTTCTTGTTTTTGTCTCACTTCCCGTGGCATTCCAGCATCTACCTGACCTCTGACCCCTCTGGCTCTATCTCCCCTCCCCGGCCCCTCCACAGCCCTTGGCTCTATGACTAAACAGACTCTCCAGTGTGACTCTCAGCACTCCCAGAAGGACGGAGGTTGCCTTTGCCTCTGGTTCTTCCACGGCAGTTCGCTCTGGGTAATCACTGGACTAGCTCCAGCCCCCAGACCCTAATCTCAGTCAGGGCTCCCTTGAAGTGGGAGGAGAACAATAACTAGCGTGTAGACACACACACACCATTGAGTCTCGTCTTTGAGGGATCTTGCAGCCATTCCTCAGCAATTATTGCACTTACTGTACACGCTATTCTCTGGTGTTTCATTGCCTTATAGCTGCTCGTGTCTATCTATCTGCCCAACTTGGCTGTTAACTTCTTTGTATCATCCCCTCTTCCTAGCACCCAGAACAATGCTCTGGACACATGAGATGCCTAACAAACACCGGTCAGTTATTTATAGAATATAGGAAGGTGAATGTTCAGGGATGCTAAGCGACACTAACCTCAGACAAGCCTAATTAGACAAGCAGACATGCCACTGTCAGCCCTCTTCTGCCTTGCACTATTGAGGACGGTCCAGGATGGACTTTCTTACCTTGGCCCTGAGTGCTTTTCAGTGAAAGGATGTTCTCCTGACCACGTTTCAGTTAGGAACGCTGACACTCAGAGGGAAAAGGAGAGACTTTGTCCGGTGTCTTAGGGAGCCAGGGTCTGTGTTGGGGGCTGAGAGCTTTGCAGCACACGTAGACTTTTTCAAGGTGACTGCTGAGTCCCTCTCTTCCTCTCCCTCTTTTTGTCACCAACAGGGTTTTTTGTTGGCCTGACCCTGGTGTGAGGAGCAGAAACAGGCAAGAGGCTTGTTGGGCCAGATCCTGGCCCAGCTCTGTATGCACTATTTGCTCTCAGGAATAGGTCCCTGCCCCACTCTAGGTCCCAGTTTTTCCTCATCTATAAAATGGAGGTGGGCATGGACTACAAAGTCAGATGGTTCCGGTGCCGGGCAGGAACATGGTTGTGTGAATGGGTTCAGGTGTAAGACAAGAGGAGGTGGTGGGGCCAGAACTGAAGCAAGTTCCCCTTCTGAATGCATTGGGATTCTTCTTCTTTTTTAAACATCATCCTGGCTAAAATAAAGCAAAGCAAAACAAAACAAAACACCTCTTGGCCAGCTTCAGCCTGGAGCAGTCAGTTTTCAACCCCTGGAATTGATCTCTAAGGACCCCTTTTCCAACATTCTGCGTCTTCCTTCATATTCCCATTTTATCTCCAAATTTTTAGATCATAGCCCTTCTACTCCACTGAAAACATTTTGTGAAAGTGTTCACAGCCCTGGGCCCACTTTCGTATTTCCTGATCTCAGTCTTATTAACTTATTCTTCCTTTACTGTCATTTTTACACCTTCTCATTAGCTGGCTTACCCCTCATCTCTGCTTTGTCTACTTCCTTCTTCCTTTTTTGACTAACCCATCACCTGAAACTGGATGAACTTGGATTCTTGATAGGGCTTGTGTGAAAAGTCAATTGTGAAATAGGTGAGTAGGGAATGAAGAGGATGTTTCATGAGAAAAAATGGCCAAAATGTATGAAGCCAGCCTGAAGGGGATCTGACTTACTGTTCAAAGGAGGTAAAAGGAAAGAAATAACAGATGTTAAAATACATTGATAATCATAATACTTTTTGGAAAAGAGAGAAATGCTGAAACATGATCCCTTGCCAGAGAAATTACAAAGGAAAGAAAATGGATAATTCTGAGGATTAGGGAGATGGTCAGTTGCTCAGGCAAAAACAAAAGCATGAAGCTCTGCTTAGAACATGTACTGAATCCTTTTTAGGATCTTTTCTTGTGCAGCCCTAGCCAAAGCTGTTCTGTAAAATCCTCTAGGGAATAATGAAATTATGTTTATACAGTGATTTCTATCTAAATACAAAAGAATTGTGTTAAATGAACCTAGAGGACAGAATTGTTAGTTCTTATCTTCCCTAAGCCATCTTCGATGCTGTCAGATAACCCTCTGATTTCTTTTCTCTCTTAGAATGATCCCTTCCTGAGAACCTCCCGGAACAGTAACTACACATACCCTGCCAAGCCAGCCACTGAGGTAATAGCCTCGGGCCCAGATTTGCCTCTCTCAGGCACAAACCATTTCCACCTGCTGATGACTTGGGCAGCAGCACAGGTTTCAGAGTGTTAGCTTAAGCAGAAACGTACCCTTCTTACATACGTGAGTTGGAATGTACGAAAAAGTTTCCCAAACCACAAAGCCCCAAGATTGTCTTAACAAGTCCACAAATGCTTACCTGATGTCAGCAACCAGAGGAAATGCCTATGGATCAGTTTTCTTTGACCTTTGCAGTCACATGCTCATCGTTTCTGATGAGGTAGCTCAGCCTTTTGAGAAGGGGTGAGGGGGAGGCAGTGAATATGATGCACCATCAACTTCCCATAAGGTGGAAGCCAAGTGGGAAGGAACCTCAATCCCAGGGGCTGGGCCCAGTGGGAAGCTGACACATATCTGGATGAGCCCCCAGGGCTTGTTTAGTTCAAATCAATCATTCTAGCTTTGGGGAACCCCAAAGGATCCAGAGTCCATGGCTTTAGGGGCTTCAGGGGACTCTTGACTACTCCAAAGATGGCCATGAGGATACTGGACTACACCAGGCTTTGCAGAATGGTCCTGGTCCTGACCAGGTCTGCTGGCCACCAGGACAGGAGCTCAATCACTAGTGTCAGTTGAGCACCTATGGTGTGTCCAGTCTTGTGCCAGGGGCTGGAGAGGATTCAGAGAAGTATCAGGCATAGGCCTTCCCTTATTGAGCACCTACTATGTCCCAGGTATTGTTCCACAGCGACAGAGCAATAAACCACACAGATGGGTCCCAGCACTCCTGGAGCTTACAGTCTAGTGGGGAGAGACATGAATAAATAGTTAAACAAATGAAGAAACAAGATCACTTCAGATAGTGAGGATAGCTCTGAGGAGAGCGGTAAGAGAGAGTGACAAGGAAAGGGGTGGTGAATTCACATTAGTTGTGCAGGCCACGCCTCTCGGAGGAGGTGAGCTTTGAGCTGAGACATGCCTGATGAAAAGATACTGGCTACCTGCAGAGCCTGAGGGCAGAGTCCCAGACAGAAGAGTCAGGGAGCGCAAAGGCCCAGAAGTGGGGGGTGTGTTATGTATATTTGAGGAAGAGAAAGAAGGTCAGAGTGGTTAGGCAAGTGAATGAGGTGGAGAGTAGGGGAGATGAGACCAGAGGGGTGGACAGGGCCAGATCACTCAAAGCCTGAGTCCCTCGATAAGAAGGTTGGATTTCACGTCAAGAGAGGTAGGAAGCCACTGGAGGGGATGACCTCCCTGACTGCTGTGTGGCAAAGGGATTGGAGAGTGGCAGGAGTGACTAAGGAAAGCCTTTTATAATCCAGCTCAAGAGTGGAGACTGGTTAATGGAGAACTGATGCTGAGCTATGGGGTGTGAGTAATAACGAGTTCATTGGTGGGGAAAGTGAGAGCACACAGATGTAGTCAGAAAGGAGGTATGACTGGACTATAGAATTAGAGGATGTAGATGAATGGGACAGAGTAAGGGGAACCAGCATGAATACAGACACAGAGGCAGGAAAAAGTCATGGCTCTGAGGGTAGCAGGGCAGACTAGAAGAAGGTCAGTTATGTAAGGGAGTGAAAGGTGTTTATTGGGAACTGGAGTCGGGGCAGAGCTGGATGGGTAATGAAGGGCCAGATGATGAAGGGCCTCAAAACCCAAGAGAGGTACGTGGCCTTCTAGCACTGGGGAGTCATCGTGTAAGTTCTTTTTTTTTTTATATTTTATTGTACTTCAGATGAAGGCTTACAGAACAAATAGTTTCTCATGAAACAGTAGTACACATATTGTTTTATGACATTGGTTAACAATCCCACAACATATTAACCCTCTA